TTCTTCCAGATTGTCCTTGGAATATCATTGCAAGCAGGCCACACCCCTAGGGAAACTCCCCTTGGGCAGACCGGCTACTCAGAACTCAGTCATCTGATCCCATCATGGGAACAACCACCCACAACTGGGGTCCAGCCAAGTTGACATACAGCTCCAACTATCACAGGGGTTTTTGTTTAGAGTGCACTGCATGTATGTTAATGGTGGTAAGATAATTTTGGAAAAAAATTATAACAACACTCACTGCTATTGAGTCGATTCCGACTCATGGCAACCCTCATTGGGTTTCCAAAGCTGTAAATCTTTACAGAAGCACATTGACTCATCTTTCTTCCACGGAGCGGCTGGTGGGTTCAAACCACGAACCTTCTGGTTAGCAGCCAAATGCCTTAACCACGACACCATCAGAGCTCCTTAAGATAGAAAGAATGGTTGTAGAACTTGAAGAATGTAACCAGTATTACGGAATTATACATGTAGACGTTGATGAAGTACTGTATGTTTTGTTGTGTGTATATTAGCATAATAATAACAAAACTGCTCATCTTTTTATTTTCTATTCTTGAAGAAATATACAAGATGGGGGTATGATAGTTAAGGTTATGTGTCAACTTGGTTGGGCCTGGTTGAGCGGCTGGGCAACTGGATGTAGTTATTCTCTGTGGTGAGACTGGCAATCAACTCCATGGTGGAATCTCCTGGATCAGCTGAGTAGCTGCTTTACAGACGTGGTCTGCTTCCAGTGTATAAGCAGCAGCTTTGAGGAAGGTCTGCAGCTTTTGGCACTCTTGAATCCGGCATGAAGCCAAGTCATTGTTCAGTAGCCTGCCATGTTGTCTGCCGATCTTGGGTCTCTTAACGGTCTTGAATCAATGGCCTGCCATGTGGTTTAGTATTATCAGGACTATTCCTTTTTACTTGTTGACTTTGGGCTTGTCAGCCTCAGCAGCCAGCAGCTGCCTGAGTGAAGAAACCTCCAGCTTCTCGTGGGCCGAGACCAAGAGGCAGAGCTGAAGCCCAAGGTTGAGGGGCTTTCACCCAGCCCCTAGAGCCTGGCATTTGAACTCGGACTTCTAGCCTCCAAAACTGTAAGAGAATAAGCTCCTATTTGTGAAAGCCATTCCACCTGTGGTATTTCTCTTAGAGCAGCACTAGGTAACCAAAACAGAAGGATTCAAGGTTTCCACCCAAGTCCTTTAATATTTGTGACAAGAAATATATTTACCTGGAATAACTTCCTGTTTTCATAAGGTTCACAGACTAGTTTTTCAACATTCCCACCAATGACAAAAGTAAGAACCACGATAGTCATCAATATCCAGCAGAAGAGGAAACTTATTCCAACTCCACTGGAAAAAAGGAAAAGAAAGTTAATTGGACAAGGAATTATTCAATTACACAAAGGCCAACATGGCTTTTCATGTGCTTGTTGGCCATCTGAATACCCTCTTTGGTGAAATGTCTGGTGAAGTCCTCTGCCCATTTTTTCATTGGGTTGCTCATCCTTTTGTTAAGTTACTAGTGCTTACTTTTCTGCCTGCTAAATGTATAAATGGGCCTGGAATCTGTAGCTTTTTGCAGGTGAAACAGGTGAGCTCTCCCCAGCACTGAACATAGAAAGTGTTAAGCTCAGTGATCTTTCAGTCCTTGGTATACACTTATTGAATCCCTGCAAGGGTTAATTCCCACTCTACGTGCAGACCTGCACAGCAGTTCAGAGCATGAGCTCTGGGGTCAGCTGAGTGAAGCAGTGCTTCCTGCAAAGGATACAGTGGGTAAGAAGGTTCTGAGGTAAGAAATGTACACTGAGAGTCTGCAAGAGGCCAATATGGCTCAAGCACAGCAGAGGAGATATGGTGGAGACAGGTGTGAATGCTGGAGGGAAGGTGGTAGAGGGAAGAGGGATGGTGGAGGGATACCAGAGAAAACCCTGAATGGTGGCGAGATGGTGGAGGGACGCTAGAGAGCTGTGCACTGCGAGGCTGGTGGAGAGACTCGTGAATGGTGGAGCGATAGCAGGGAGAGCCATGAATGGTGCGGGATCCTGGAGGGATGGAGGGGTGATGCAGAGAGAGGTGCAGATGGCAAAAGGATGGCAGAAAGAGCTGTGAATGGCAGAGAGATGGCACAGAGAGCCATGGATGGTGGAGGGATACTGGACGGATGGTGGGGTGATGGCAGAGAGAGCTGTCAATGGCAGAGAGATGGCAGAGAGAGCCACGGATGCTGGAGGGATGGCAGAGGGACGGTAGAGGATGGTGGAGGGAGGATGGCGGAGAGAGCCGTGGATGTGGAAAGATGGAGTGAGCTATGAATGAGAGATCATCTGAGGCACCTCTGGATGAACTAAAACCACCAACCTCTCAGCAACTGAATGTATCACCCTTTTGCACCACCCAAGGACTGCCAGATGCTCCCTAGAGCCCAGAAGACACAGAATCAGCAAGGAGCTAAGGCCTTCTCCTGTCCTTCCTTGCAGGCCTTTCATTAGCATCCTTTTGGAAGATACGGACCCTTGCTTGGCTTTTAAAGATAACATGATCTTCATGAGCCCGTGCCACCATTTGTAAAGGGCTGGTGGTATTTCAGTTGCAGTGAAAGAAATATGCTTTCTAGTTCTTATGAGCAAGTAAGCCGTTTTAAAGAAGAGACTGCATTCTTCTAATTAGTCTCGTTAGCCTGACAATACTTGCATGCTTCTCCCCCTTTGCAATTCTCCAGCAGTTTACCAGAGGTCTCCAGAGATGGGGAATTCTGACAAGCATGCCAAACCTGCCGGGGCGGAGTGGTAGGGTCCAACCATGAAGAAATCAGAGTGACCCTAAGTCTGCAGACCACCTGAAATGAACCTGATGTACCAGAGTTGCCAGCTTCTTCCCCACTGCTGAAGTCCTACAGCCTCCAGGCCACAGGTTTCCACGTGATTTTGTCTCTCTAAACCCATGGCCATTGGGTCGCTTCTGACTCACAGAGACCCCAGAGAACACAGAACTGCCCCCTTAGAGTTAGGCTGTGAATCTTTACAGAAGCAGACTGACTCATCTTTCTCCTGTGGAGTGGCTGGTGGGTCTGTACCATTGACTTTTTGATTAGTAGCCGAATGCCTTAACCACTGCACCACCTGAGCTTTTTTTTTTTTTTTTTGTCTCTCTAGCTGGCATGGGCCTAAGGCATTTGACTGCTAAC